AATAGGCAACATGTTGTTTATTCTCCATTCAGTAGTAGTAGTAGTAGTAGTAGTAGTAGTAGCAGCAGCAGCAGCAGTAGTCGGAGTAGTAGTAGTAGTAGTAGTAGCAGCAGCAGCAGTAGTAGAAGAAGAAGAACAAGTTCGTAGCAGCAGGAGTGGCAGCAGCAGTGTCAGCAGGAGTGGCAGCAGCAGCGGTAGCACCAGCAGTAGCGGTAGCAGTAGCACAAGCTGTCGTACTTGTACTAATTACCAATTAGTTCTCATACTCCACAAGCACCTCCTCCTCCTGCTGCCCCTCCTCCTCCGCCTATCGCTGGTGCTGTTGCTCATACGTCTCGGCATACATGCAACACGCAGATTCTGAGATAGTCCCCAAACCTGAGACCTCGACCCAGCGGCTTCGCCTCGACCCAACGGTTTCCCGAGCCGAGGTCATGCCGCTGATCAGCGTGCGTGCGACTTAGACTTGGCGTTTAGGGACATGAGGTTTCGTTCGTTTGGTTTCGGGGGTTTCCGTGCCGGTTTACGCTGCACAGCTAGAGACCAGTGCGTCGCCTTTTTTGGCTTTAGTCGATGAGGTTTCCCCAGAGTGGTCAGAACCCGCCTGATGGGCTTAGGGAACGGGGCTCTGAGAATATTTGTACCCTGACGAGGGGCAAACTCGGGCTTGTGAGATCTCGCGCAACGGAGGCTATCGGGCCAGAAGAGCTCCAAGAGCTCCATCCTCCAAGTGATGCAGCTCCTCCGGTTGCCGAGTCCTTGGGAGCTCTGGCTTTCCGTCAGTCTGGCTGCTGAGCTACTACGCCAGGTCGCTAGGCTAGCCGGGAGGCAAGATGCTCGGCTGTCTCCGGTGCCCCAGGTTGCGAATTGCCCGTCTCATCCGCATCGTGCGAGGCTTAGCCTTGACTGGGGCAGGATTGTCAGAATCACAGTTGCGCTGTCGCACCTGCACAAACCTCACACACAAGTGCCATCTGCCTGACGAAACCTGACTTCATGGTGAACATCTCACTTTACGTACAGGCAAGTAGCAGGTGGGATGGGAGCAGTGCTCTACAGCTGTCCAGCTAGCAATCCTGCCCGTTAGGAAGGGTTGATTCCCGTGCATTTGCAACGCAGGTTGTAGCAGGCCGCTGCGTCCATGAAAAAGGTACACAATTTTACACAACCATGTCAGGCGCGTTTGCCCGTAAATACTTGTGAAAGCCGCTATGTCCTTGATTGAACTCATTGCATGATATGAGCCCCCAAACTTCATTCTCGAGAACCTGCAGGAGACGTACTCTTGGAAGACGGCTCGACTGATAAATTCCCAACCCGATCAGCAGCCTAAGGCTACATTGCCATTTGGGCTCGAGGTCTTTCGGCACAAGGGCTCAGTCCAGTATTTTCGCTTCCTTCGCCACAACCCCCAAGAGCACTATCATGGCGGAGGCCGAGGCTGTGTACCGCTACGAGTCCGGAAACATCGCACATGCTCCCAAGAAGGATTACGGTCCTTTAGACTTCACTGGGAGGCTTTGTGGAGGCCTGCGGCTCGACATCCGCAGGCGAGCACCGCTGTACTGCAGTGATTGGACGGATGCCTTCACACCGGAGAACTTCCAAAAATCGGTATCGTCCATCTTGTACCTGTTCTTCAGCCTTGCAATATTCAGACTTTAAGCTTTTAGTTGAGTTCTTCTACTGAACTGCTATTCTGAAAGTGTGGCTCATTTGCAACAGCAAGGTTCATCGCAGCCCTTGCTCCTGCGATTACCTTCGGCAGTCGGTTCCTTGACGGCACGAACGGCCAGTTCGGAGTGATTTCTTGGCCTACACGCTTGTCGTCTATGGACGTGGAGGTCATGCCATTTTATTTCTGGACATGCATGTGGTACTCCCTCTTCACCGTCCTAGTTGCGGTCTTCGACTTGTGTGCTCTCATGAGGCACGTCACTATGTTCAGCGAAGACATCTTCGCTGGATGCTGTTCAGCGATATTATATGTGTTTAACGTTGATTGTTTCTGGGTTCTGATTATAATGCAGGCAATCTGAAAAGCCGTTTTGCTTTTAACTTTTCCTTTCGTGTTATCCAAAAGCCTAGGATTGATCTCGCTCATTTTCATCATCGATGGAGCCCGGCCGATCATCGAGAATTTCACGGAAAGCAGGCTGACGCTGACGAACTGCATGTTTGAAGCAAAGTTGCTGTATGCGGCCTCGACAAGCTCCTACTTCTTTCGTCATCATGCAAAGTTGCGGCCATTGTATCTTGCTAAAATAGCACACGGGGCAAGTGATTCACTTGCCCCGTGTGCTATTTTAGCAAGATACAATGGCCGCACTTTTGCATGATGACGAAAGAAGTAGGAGCTTGTTCTCCCGAGGCCGCATACAGCAACTTTGCTTCCTTTTGGGACAGTGCTTGATTGGGTGGGAGCACTCACGCTGCCCGTCTGTGCTGTGCTGGGCCTGCCTTTGTCCGTGGCCTCCACGGTGCCGAGCATCACCCACGTGATCTCGTTGACCACCTACGAAGTGAAGCAACTTCCGGAAGGTGAACGCAAGGTGCCTACGAAGGTGGTGGAGCAGCGTGCTACCAATTTTTTGATTCTTCGTGGCTGAATGAGTACACGTTACACTTTTCGATAGTACTAATTCCCGAAAAAATTGAATTTTACGCTTGCTGTGCTTTTGAATTCAGAAACTCAGGATTCACGTGCTTATAGGCTCAGCACTCTTCCTGGCACCAGTGCTGTAGTTCCTGCCACGGGCCGTGCTGCAGGGCGTGTTTTTCTACATGGGAATCGCGAGCCTGACCGGCAACAGCCTCTTCGACCGGCTGAGGTTGTGGCTCATCTGGGACCCGGCCAAGTACCCGCAGTACCACTACATCCAGAAGCTGCCCATGAGTCGAGTGCACCTGTACACTGTCGTCCAGGTCATCTGTCTTGGAATTCTGTATGGGTTGAAAGCTATTAAGGAAACATCCGTGGTGTTCCCTTTCTTCATGGCCTCTCTGGCCATCATCCGCAAGGCCATGAGATTCATGTTCACCGAGGATGAACTGAAGCAGCTGGACGGCCTTCCAGGTGAGGACGAGGAGCAGGATGCCACGATGTCGAAGCCGGACATCGTGAACTTGGACGTGAAAGAGGCTGCTTAGGAAAGGAAGGATGTGCAGGGTGTTGTAGATTCAACTAGCGTAGACAAGGAGGCTACTCAGCCGGACCTTTTGCACAATTCATATTCAATTTTGGTTCTTCGGGACTCGTCAGCGAAGCCCTTCCTTGAAGGCCTTTCCTGGCAAACCTGCTCCAGCACTGTTGGCACGACCCCGTGAGTTGGGATGTGGGGCTTGATAAGAAATGGAGAATTGGCTCTTGGGTCTTCAGCCTCTGTGCTTGAGGTTTTGTGTCTAAAATTTGGCCCATTTGCGGCCAAGCAACGCCAATCAAGTGCTGAGGGAGTTCGATCGCCGAAGGTGAGCCACTCTCGGGCACACGTTCTTTGTACAAACAGTGCGCTGCTAAACTGGCTTACTCCAAATTCTCGGTGCAGAAAACGCTAGTTGAGAAGCTTGGTTGGAGACTTCGGATGAGGGCCTGCGCTTTCTTCTTGCTGTTGCTATTGAAATTGTTGCTGCTCATGATGGTGGGGGTCACCACAGTCCTTCCTCTTCTTTGTGGTGGGGTGATGTGCAAAATCTTAAAAGCTAAAAGGCCGTGAAATCGTGGTGCAAAATGGCTGCACGAAGCGCGAAGCATGCAGACTCCTTCAGGTGAAGATCATCCCGCCGCTGTACAGCCTCGCTGTGGGCATCGGTGAGGCCCTAAACCCTAAACCCTGATAAACCCTAAAGCCTGCAGGCCAAGAGGTTGATGTGGAATGGTTGCGTTGTAGTCTTCAAGGTGGCAATGTTGAGCGAGTGCGTCGGACAACGAAGAGGGCCTGGTAGCTTCGACCACCATCCAACAGAATTTAGAAGTTCCTGAGCCGTTCTTGCGTGTTTCAAGTTTTTTTAGGGTAGGGTTTCTGCAGGGTTGTAGTAGTAAAGTGGTGTTAGGGGGTTGCCGAGGGCGTTACACCCGGCAGTCTCGAAACTCGCAAGCCCTGGTCGAATCAGGCCCTGCAAGGCATGTTTTGGGTGCGGTGCCCCAGCTCTCACTGCTTGCGAGGGATGGGATTTTGAGAGTTTCAAGTCTCAGACCTTCTTCGTGTCTTTTGACTCCTCATGTCTCCTGATGCGATTCCTTACGGCATCCAAAACTCTCAGACTCAGGTTCATCACAAGGGACTTCAGTCAAGTGAAGCTTGTCGCCGCGCCAGTCTCCTTCAACTTTACCGACGCATCAATTTGAGCAGACTCGCCGCACCATGTGCCAATCTCCAAGTCCCTAGCATTCAACCATATTCAACCAGCTGAGTCCGAAAGACTCGAAGTTCAGAGATGAGAAGCACCAGAATAGTTGTGAACGCAAGTGTGCAGCATCATGCAGCAAGCAATGCTGCCGATGCAGCCAATGCTTCTCCGAGCTGGGCGCGAGGCAAGCTTCGCGCCGCCGCTCCCCCCCATGTTTTCTCATACATACGGTGTACATGCTACAGGGGCAGCCGCACAGGCCCCCTTGGCACGTGATGTGCAACTGCAGCTCCGTGCTGGTGTGGTCGTTTTCGACATGGAGTGTATTCATGACAACCCGCGGGGGTCATACCTCGCACAGGGCCTGGTCGAGACTTTCGACCAACAGGAATGGAAAGAGCGCTGCCAGATCATTGAATTTGCAGCCATTGATCTGATCACCGGCGAAAGCTTCAGCGTGCGGTGCCGACCGCAGTTCAGCTGGCAGGACGTCAGGTCCCATGCAGCACGCCGCTTTGCAGAGGATCATGGTCATCGCGAGATCATCGAGGATATGGGCTTGCCATACTTCGAGGAAATCTGGCACTCCGAGCTGATCCCATTCCTGCAGCGTGCCGCTGGGGGAACAGGGAACGTCGTGCTCCTCGCTCACAATGGGGCAGCTTTCGACGAGTTTGTGTTGAAGAAAGAGATCGCCCGTCTTCAGCTGGACATGTCTTGCTGCCCAACGTTGATGTACGCGGACCCAGTTGCCGCGGCGAAGGAAAACTACCACCATCCAGCAGTCGCTGCTGAGTACCGGGGCCGGCACATGAGCCTGACCTTGGCAGATATGCATCAGAGGTATGTGAGCAAAACGAACCGAATATTCAAGGCACATCATGCATTAGACGACTGCCATACGCTCCTCGAGGTGCTTCGTCATGCTCCATATGTGGCAGATGCCTTGGCCGCCCACATTTGCAACAGGATTGGCCTCCAGGTCCCGGACCTTGCCAGCACGCTGCGCAATCGATTGCAGAATCCGGCGAACATTCGCGACCCGCTTCCGGCTCCACGCATATTCGAGTACTGCGGAAAGCGGTACTTGTTGAAGAACATGGCGTTCCTTCCAGCACCACCCGTTCCGGCACCACTCGTGTCTGTGCCGGTGCCATTGCCCACGCCAGGTGCTGCACCGGCTGGGTCGGTCGTGCCTCCACCGCCCCCGACACCCGCACCAGACGAGACCATGATACCACCGCCACCGCCTCCGCTTGTGCCAGCTGTGACTTCCCAGGCCCCGAGCCCACCGTCTTCGCCGCCGACCTTTGCTCCGGCCACGCCGCCGATGGCACCGGTTGTGGTTGGGGCTGTCCGCACCGTCTCGGATGTGGAGGATGAGCTGAAGAAAGAGGATCCGAAGGAGAAGCGCAAGAAGAAGAATCGAGCGGATTGGTGGGACGGCTACTGGGACGGCCGTGGACATGACTGGTGGGCTTGGTCCCGCTACGCCTACGATTCCTCCTACGATGGAGGAGCCTGGTGCTACCAATTCCACGGAAAAGGAGGCTACCAGTCTTGCGGAAAGGGCCGCCAGAGAGGTGGAGGTGCCAAAGGCAACGGCGGGAAGAGCAAGGCCAAAGGCGGCAAAGCCGCCTCTCCGGTGGCTGCAGCTCCCACTACGCCTACGCAGCAGCCCACTGGCGCCGAGAGCTCCACGGTCACGAAAGCCTTCAAGTTCCAGTGAGAGCTCTTGCGGGTGAGCGGGCTGATTTGTGGTCTCTGTCCGTGGTTCGCGTGGGTTCTTGGAGATCTTGTGGTCGGGGCTTTCCCCCTTTTTCCCTGACTTGTTCAATTGGCATAGTTTCGAGACAACTGAGCTGAAGGATCCACGGAGAACGGCGGAAGTTGACCGTGTCTCACTGTCGCATCTATCCTTTCAGTAGTACGACCGCGTCTGAGTGTAAATTTTGGGGTTGCCCCTTCGTGTCTTGAAGAGTGCGTTGCATCATCGGAAGGACAAGTAATGACGCTTTAAACGAGACAAACCACTTACACTCTGCTCTCCTCGACCTCGAAGCTTCCAGCTGTTCTTGTGTAATGAACTGCGCTACTCGGTGCTCAGGTGCTCATTTTCCTCTTCATGCTGCTCTATGCCTGCGCGATTCTGACCGCCAGGTGTGGCAGCTAGAAAAGGAGGCTTCTTGTTTACATGTTTTTTTTGTTGTGTTTTCTTCTGCTTTGGGGTTTTCTACGCTTTGAATGTGTCTTCCCGGCCTACCTTCTGCCTTTGTTTGCTAAGTTTGCTTGTCGTTTCCTGCTTGTTTGTGTTTTTGCTTTTCTGTTTTCACGCTTGTCTGCTTCTCTGCGTTGCCGCTTCTCTGCTTCGCTCTTCTGTTCCTCCGCTTTCCTGCTTTCCCGCTTTTCTCCAAATGAGGAGGCGGTTCAAAAAACGTGATCAAGCAGGATCGCCAAATGAGGGGCCGCGTTCAAGATATCTGATGAAGCGGGTTCGCTAGCCAGATATCGAAGCTGAGCTCCTGCTTGTGCCAGGTGTTTGGGCATGTCTGAGGGAGAGATGTCTGACGAAGGCCGACTTTCGAGGGACATGGCCTCTCGAATGAGCAAAGCATGCGCAGACCTTGCCCCCACCGTAAACCCCAAATCCACCCTTAAAGGAACCCCGAACCCTCAACCCCAAGCCTTACGCCTTCGTAGCCGCAGCCATAATGTTGTCTTGTCATGGCCACATCCCCTGCCTGGAGGATCGAAGGCTGAGGAAGTCCGGGCGGCTTGGGCACGTGTTTTCAGATCTCAGAGTCAGGTTTCGTCCCTGTAATCACAAGAATAACGCTGATGACCACTAGTAGCAATCGCAATCGTAACAGCATCAGGAACAGAAGTAGTGACAGCAATAACAATGACAACGATAGTAAGGTTAACAGTAAGGAACAAGTTATCATCAGCATCGTCATGGTCAATCAGAATAGTCACAACACCCTCGACAATCATAATAATCTTAGTAATCACACATTCATAATAATCATAATACTTATGGTAGAAGACAATAAGTAGCAGTAATAATAGTAACAATAGTCGCAGTAGTCGCAGTAGTCGAAGTAGTAGTAGTAGT